TTTGCAACATGACCAATATGCAGAAGAGTGTCAATGAGCTTTGAAAACCATTGCCTTGAAGCTTGCTTCAAACCATATAAAGATTTCTTGAGACGACAAAAATCATTTTTGGAACCAGGTTGAGGGATATAACCTTTAGGAAGACCCATGTATACTTCCTCTTGTTGGTCTCCATGAATAAATGCATTGTTAACATCAAGTTGATGTATATCCCAATTCCTCATAGCAACAATAGCTAATAATGTCCTGATTGTGGTCATATTGATCACTAGGGCAAATGTGTCTTGATAATCAACTCTTTCTTGTTGTGTGTTACCTTTGGCCACTAATTTGGCTCTAATCCTATCTAAAGAGTAAAGGCCATTGATTTCAACCACATCCCAAGTGTTGTTTTTTATCAAAGCTTTGATTTCACGTTTCATGGCATCTGACCACTCTTCTGAATGAAAAGCTTCATTGTAAGTGTTTGGTTCTTGATAAGATGATATGTTTGTATGAAAATTTTGTGATGAGGGGCAAGTTTATTATACAAAAGAATAGATGAGAGGGCAGACCTTGTGTTGAGAACCTGTGACAGAGTTGAATTATTGGTCTTGATAGATTGTTGAGACAGGTTACAATGGCAGTCTTGGACCAGATGAGCAGGTGGTTTAATTTGTCTGTCAAAACGTTTTGGTGCTTGTGGTGGAGGTATTGACGGATCTGGTGGGCTAGGATTAGGGGAATATGTTGTGCCGGAAGCACTATACTTTGGAGCAAGAGATGAAGGAGAGTCAAAAAAAGGATAAGTAGTTGGGTTTGGAGCAGGAGAAGGGGGAGTGGAATGGAATGGGAAGAAGGGTTAGACAGTAAAACTGGTGTTGGGTCATCAAAAATAGGATAAGTAGTGGATGGCAAGGGATAGAAGTGATCATCATCAAAGTGACTGGTGGGTTCTAGGTTGAGAGATTTGAAAGGGAAATGAGATTCATAAAAGATGACATCTCTGGATATGAAAATGTAATGATTCATCAGGTCATACATTCTGTAACCCTTGATGCCTGTGACATAACCAAGGAATAATCTATTTCTAGCTCTGAGTTGAAACTTGGTTATGTGATTCCCTAGTGTGCTGGCAAAGCAACGATTCCCAAAAACTTTCAAGTTTGTTAGGTCTGGTGCTGTGTTACAGAGTTTTTCATGAGGGGTTTTGTTTTATAAGACAAAATATGGGATTCTATTGATAAGGAATACTTCATGTTTGACACAATCACCCTAGAAACCAGCTAGCAGGTCAGCTTGGAATTTCAATGCTTTGGCAACAACAAGTATGTGTTGATTTTTTTCTTTCTAATTGGATGTTCTGCTGTGAGGTTTCAACACATGACATTTCATGTATTATACCATGTGTATAATAACATTCTTCCATTTGAAACTCTTTTCCCTGATCACTCCAGATTCTTTTGATTTGTAAGTTAATTGCATCTCAATTTTGTTACAGAAGGCAATCAACTTAGGCCTTGCTTCTGACTTAAGTTGCAAAAAGGAAATGAGTTACATTATGAATTATACGAAAAGGAAGTCTTCTTTGCTTTGTAACGTGACAGACAACACACGACATATCTTTTTGAGTTTTGATTGAGATACAAAATTGGTTAAAATGTGAAATTTTGGAATGGGGTAGATATCCTAGTCTAAAATTCCAAAGATAAAAAGTGATAGAATTGGTTGCAGTGATGATTTTAGGTATACTATATGCTTATAACGAGTAAAGGCCATTAGATAATCTAGCAGAACCAATCATTCTCTTCCGCTCCAGATCTTGTATAACACAAAGGTTAGAGGAAAATGTTAAAGATAACAAGTTTCTAGTGGCCAACCTTATCATAGAGACAAGGTTGAAGGTAAATTTTGGAACCTATAAAACATCCTCAACTATTAAGAAATTATTGCGTATTGTTCTTCCAGTATAAGTTGCCTGAATTTTTTCTCCCGTTGTCAATATTATGAAAACATTGCTAACCATCTTGTAATTTGCTAGATTATTAATTAAGCAAACGATATGGTTTGAAGCACCAGTGTCCAGAATCCATGTTTTTTTACTGCGGCGAGACACAACATTCACAGTAGGTATAGATAAGAGAAATTTACAAAATAAGATGGTTCTTTATGGTTGGCCATGAGACTCATAAGCTTTTCATAATCAGATCTAGTTAGTTTCACCTCCGCTTCATCTTGTCCACTCAATGCATTGGAAAATTGTTTACCCCCACCATATCCAGAAGTGTTACCTCTAGAAATGAAGTTAGATGGGAAGCCATACTTGTGAAAAAACTTTTCTTCTATATGTCCATGTTTCTTGAAGAAATTTCATTAAACCACTCTCCCTTGTGGATTGGGAACAACTCTTAGTGTTCATCTAACTCCAGAAAAGTTATCATTTAAACCTCTCAGAAACTTAATCATATAACTCGTTTCTTAATACTCATATACCCTTTTCATTGTGACACAATCAAGATGGATGGCAGGTGTGAAAGTACAGGGAATCAAGGGATGGAAGTTTTCAAGTTCATCTCTAAGGGTAATGACTTTGCCATAATACTTTGTGATAGTTTGGTTACCTTGCTTCAGGTTCGAAAGTGCTTCTTCAAACTCATCAACCCTCACTATATTTCCAAATCCATACCTTGTCTGTAAAAACTTTTCCAAGCTTTTGCTGCAGCCTTGCTAGACAAGATTGTCTTCCTGATCATTGAATCAATAGACTGCTGAATCCAACTTAGGATCATCACATTATTTCTGACCCAAGCTCCTCTTTTTGAATCTGCCTCTAAAGGATGAACCAAGACACCATTAATAATACCAAGCTTGTTCTTTGCAGCAAGGGCATTGAGCATAGCTCTGCTCCATTCGTTGCAATTCGTGGTGTTGTGCTTCTCTCCCACCAGCAATGAACCTGGCTGCTCTGAACATGAAGAAAGTAAGGATTTTCCAAAGCGCAAGTAACTTGTTATTGATTTTCAGCAACATTCTCATCTGCATTTTGTCCATCCATGGCAGCGACTAGGTTTTACAACCAGTCTCTGATACCATATATACCAACAGATCTGGTTTGTAACCGTAGAATCAATTGTCCTCATTTCGTTAAGATCTCTACTTATAAAGAGCATATCAAAGCACTACATGAGAAACACTTAGCTGTCTTTACATCGTTTGTCTTTTAACTTGGAAAGGAAACAACCTTCTAACTTAAGGAGTAAGAATGAAACAAACGTAAAAAGGTAAAATGACCACCAGACGAGATAAGTGAGACGGTGGCATATTGGATTCCCTCTGTTCCTCAATAGCAAAGATGATTCGGCGACGTATTGGATTTTCCCTTGTTGACCGTGGGAGATTTGAAAATGATTAAGGATCATTACCTGTTAATAATAGGGTCACCAATAGGATGTGGGGGGACTGCTGCCAATCCCATCATTGTTCATGAAGCCAACCGTGGTTTGGCTTTTTATTGTCGTCGATGACAATGTCCGGGCAAGGATTCTCTATCTCTCTCCATGGATGGTGAAGGACTTCGTGCTCCATATCCAGCCGTGACAGCATATTACTAATAGCTTAGTTCGTGATTTGGCACGTTTAGCATTCACGGTGTATATGTCGGCGATTCCATCGCAGTTGTGCACAATGAAACTGGGTTGATCGTTTAGCGAACCATATGGATAGCATAGTAGGTTTTCGAGAGATAGGGCTTTACTCTGATCACCCTCATGCTATGCTGCCTCAGGTGAGACCTTCTACGGTGAGACCACCTTTGCAGGATCGTCCGGTGGTTCGTCAGTCGCTTCCCCCATTGTGTATTACTGAGGTTCAACCTTCTCTGTCCTTTGAAACCTTCACTGGTTCCTTTTCAAGACAAGGGTAAGAGTAAAGTGATTTTTCTGAGATGGAAGATTCGGAGGATGAGGGAGAGGTTGATGTGGGATCGTCCTCTTCTCGTCGAAAGCCAAATTTTCATATGCTGCCGACTGACGTGGAGATGGGTACAGAAGGACATTTGAAGAGATGCATGGAACAAATCTGGGAGAATAGATTGTTCAGTTGCCATTACTTTTGGTAGATGGTGTGAGCATAACAGAGGCTCCAATTTAGATGGCTTGCAAGGAGGAGCCCCCAGCAAAAAGGTAGCAAGTCGAGATGGATGTTTTTGATTCTTTGATACATGTGGAGTAATCTAGCAACGAGTGCCCCATCCCCTTGAATGGCGATAATTGCTTGAAATTGTCGAGGCTTAGATCCTGACATGCGTGCCCCCTTTTTGAGTTCTTTGGAATTCCATCTTCTTCAACTAGTTGATGGTGAACAAGCAGTCATATATTAGATATCACATTCATCAACCCCTAGCCTCTTCACCATTTCTACCCAAATTTGATAGCAAAAATCTCCATTAAACTGGTGACCATCGGACTCTCGTCTGACGACGAACCGCAACAATACAAAAATGCCCAAAATTGATCTTAGATCACCTACATTTGCTTTGCAAGGAGAAAGTGATTTCTCTTTTGCCTTGTGTAATGTTGTTGGAAGATAGACACACATATGAGGTAGAAACCAAAGTTGTTAATATAATAAAGACTAGTGAATTGTGAAATGGATGGCAAACATGGATGTACTTATTGAGTAGTTTTCCTTGGAACAAAATTTATTCATAATTAATTAATTACACTACCAACTCCCATAAGAAACAAGATAAAATTAATCAAACAAATGTGGGAAAACAAAAACGACAAGTAGATCTGATTGAGAACGAGAGTGAGAGATGGGACTATAAATTATAAACAAAATAAATATTTTAATAGTAATAATTTGAAAGATACACAATTCAGAGAAATTCAGACGTACTCATCTTCTCCCATCATCATAAACACATACCACTAGAACTTTAATTTACAGAAAATACCTAAAGACCAAAAATCCAAAAACCCCGATATTTAAAAAGGAAACACACCAAAAAGACCCGACCGAGAAACTCATAAATTTCATTAAAAAAGAGGAACTGATTATAATCATAGTTGAATTCCCCTAATTAAACACAAGCCTAGGAAGCCGGCCACCATTGATTAATCATATATTTATAATTCATGACAGAATATGAAGATTTATCTAGCTTTGGAATTAGCAGCACGATTCCTTCGATCGAACGATTGTTCAACCCTGAGCTTATGTGACTCCATAGTATCATCTGTATCATCGGTCTCATCATCTTCATCATCCTCCTCGTCCATGTCATCTTCCACGTGGGAAACCTGCTTGGGACGTCTCCCAGCCAAGTTTCCTTTAAGCCACTCAACTACTTCTGTCATAATGGGTCGGTTCTCTGGGTTGGCATCGGTGCACCGGATTGCAACCATAACTGCCAACTTCAATTGCGACCGGTCAAACTTGCCTTTCAGTCTTGGATCTGCTATGTGGTCGATGGCACCTTTCTGGATGTAAGGGGTGACCCACTGGATGATGTCACGCTTGATCCCACCGGGAAGTTTTTCCAAAGGTCGTTTGGCACTGATGAGCTCAAGGAGGAGGATGCCAAAGCTGTATACGTCACAGCTGTCCGAGACTTTTCCCCACATGGCATACTCGGGAGCTAGGTAACCAAGTGTGCCTTTGACTCGGGTAGTCATGTGGGTTACCCCATCAGGGATTAGCTTGGCGAATCCGAAGTCGGCGACTTTGGCTTGGAAGTTGACGTCGAGGAGGACATTGCTAGCTTTTATGTCCCTGTGGATTATATGTGGGCTCGCTTCATGGTGCAAGTACCTGCGTGTCAAGATGAAAAGAAAAAAATATTCAAGTCACTGACATCATAAATAAAGTAGAGCTTCGAGAAAGAAGATTTTTCGGTAACTGTCGGTCGCAATAATTGAACTCAAAATGTGGTTGACAAGAATGACAAAACAAAAAAGGCATAAATACCCAATTATTTTCTTCATAGAACCTATTGAAAACAATACACTCTTCTACTAAACGTGATCTAATTGGCAACTATACTTATAAACTATGACTGGTAACTTGTCAATGAACTTTAGGTTTTGTCTATGAAGATAGGAACATCTTGTTTTGGAAGCGGGTGCTTGGTCTTGTTAGGGCTTGGGCGGAGAGTGGTGAGGTGTGATAGTGAAACATTGTTTGATGGGTCGTCTATTCCAATGTATTCTTATATATTTTTGACAACGACGCCGGCAATTTCAATGGTAATTCTAACAACTACTCCTAATTTAAATTGTAATCAAAACAGGCCAAAAGGAATTGTAAATTACTTGTTAATTAAACTACGATTAATTAGAGAATAGTAGTTAGTTAATGACCATGGAAGAGACGACTACTACTCACGCTAGGCCTTCAGCTGAGCCGATGGCTATGCTCATTCTCGTGGACCAATCGAGCAAGCACTCGGCGGCGAGCGGGCCGTGGAGGTGGGTGATCAAGCTGTGATTAGGCATGTAGTCGTACACGATCAGCCTCTCGTCGCCGCCGGCGTAAAACCCTCTCAGGCCCAGCAGGTTCTTGTGCCTCACCCTCCCCAGTATCTCCACTTCCACCGCAAACTCCATCTCTGCCTTCGCCGTCATCGCCTTCAGCCGCTTCACTGCTATCTGCACCCTCAAATATCCCAAAAGACCCATCAATCAAGAGTACTCCTACTAATCACAGGCCCCAACATAATTATCTGTTGAGTGAAAATGTCACAACCCGCAATATTATTAACAGGTGTCACATACATAACGCCTCTAGTACAATTTTTTGTTTGCAAACTCTACTTGTGGGCGGTTGTATTTGAACCCTCCAGGTGATCATTAATCACAAATTGACTTGTTACCCTTATACGATATTTCATCAACGAACAAGATTTGTTATATAATTATACATAATCAAATTCGTAAAAGTTCTATTTACGTTGAAATTTTCGAATCAACAATAGTGGTGAATAATCTTCTTAACCCAAGGAGTGGAAGGTAGATAAATTGGAGTTACCAATGAAATTAAGTATAATAATGAATAATTACCTCGACGCCTTTACTAGTCCTGCCCCAATAAACGCTGCCAAACCCACCTTCCCCGATCTTGTTATCATTGTGGAAACTGTTGGTGGCGTAGAGAAGCTCCTTCAGGGAGTATATATCCCAAGGGTAATCCTTTCCACCACCCACTAACCTGATGAAATTATATATTAGACATACAATGGTCACAACTCACGAATCAAGGCTGACAAAACAACATAGAAGAGATTCAATCCATTTCTACCATACCTGAGATTATTATTACCATCGGGCCGTCTGCTTTCAGGAAAGACGCAGCATAAGCATCTCTGCATCATCTTCTGCAGATGACGATGATGATCGATAAAGAGGGCAAAATAGTTCGCGAAATGAGATGAATTTTGGTAGGTGTTTGAGAGGAGAGAAAGATCGAGGGAAAGAACAAAGGTTGGAATATCAGTGCCAGTTTCTGAAAGAAAGATGGATGAGATGGGAAAGCTTGGTAACAATAATAGAGATAAAAACTATTCGAGACACTTTTGTTTGGCTTCTTTGTTTGGTTTTGTAATTGTCGTGGAGAAATCTAAGTAGGTAGAGAGTGAGGGCAAGGTAGGACTTTGGGAGGGAATGGGTGGAGGAGACAAGGGAGTTTTCTGGGTACTTATGGTGAAAGACAAATTTGCAGCTAAAGATGAGCAGATTCTAGCTATTGCTAGGAAGGAAGAACCTCCAACCCAAATTGCCAAAGTAATTACTATAATATGATGGTGAAGTTATCTGTATTTCTTGAACACTTCACAATTTTTAATGTTTGTTTTAGTGCGAAGATCTCGTTTGGTGTTTTTGGTTATTGTAAAAAATTGGGGTTTCCACGGCGGCATATGCGTGGGCTGGAAAGGGACCCTTTTCCTGCTTTGGCTTTGATTTCAAACTTTTTCGAAATCGCGAGTAACAGTTCTACCTAATACAACAGTATATACGTTTTTACGTTTACTATGTTTATTGATATCTTGTTGACGAGGATTATAATAAAAATGACGAGAACAATGATTTAAGAGTTTGATGTCAAACTCATAGTGTATGGTGATGTGGTGTCAGATAAAATGGTTGTAAAATAATGAGGCTAATGATCTTCTGTATAATTGATTTTCACGATTTTATGATTAATAGTGATTGTATTTTTTTTTTATTCATAATAAAGTGACAAGAACAATGATTTAAGAGTTCGATGTCAAACTCATAGTGTGTATATAGTGATGTGGTGTCCAATATATATCATTTTTAGTACGAGTTTTACATTAAATTTATCTTATACCATTGGTCTGTGGATTTGGGATTTCTCTTCAATGTTCTTCATGCAACGGGATTCCCTGGTAGGTTCCTTTTTTGGTTAAGAATGTGTGTTACCCCTCCAAAGTTAAGTATTGGCTTCAATGGTGGTTGAGTTGGATATTTTTCCGCCAAAAAGGGTTTGATGCAGGGGATCCTCTCTCTCCTTATTTGTTTGCTGTGGCTATGGAAATTTTTTCATGTCTAATGAATCGAGTTGTTCCCCAGAATGCTATGTCGTTCCATCCTATGTGCAAGAGACTGAAATTGACTCACCTCATGTTTGCTGATGATCTCTTGCATTTCTCTAATGTTTCAAATTCTGGGATCCAGTGCATTAAAAAGGTATTATCTGAGTTTATATATATGTCAGGGATTCAATCCAATCCATCTAAATGTGAGCTCTACTGTGGGGGGGTTTGTGACCAGTGGCAGGTTTTGATGGCACAATACTCAGGGTATAAATTCGGTACGCTCCCTGTACGTTATTTAGGACTTCCCCTGTTAGTTGGGATGATACGCCCCTGGGGGTGTATGTTTATCAAAGTACGTAGCAAAACAATCAATCAAAGGATTGAATTGAATGAAAACGAAGCTCGAACCAAAAACAGATGTTCTTGGGTGTTTGGGATAAAACGAAATCAAACGTGCAATTCCACACTTGGGGAAAGGCTCGATTGATATAAAGATAGATGCTTGACCAAGATTGAAGTGACTATTCAATCGATACAAGAGCTCACGAGTTTGGAATCCACCAAACTCAACACAAGTCGCAACTTGCACAAAACCAAAAGGTTCTCAATTCGATTAATCAAAGTCTTAAGTTTTTACAACGAAAATAGAAGGTTAAATAGGTCTAGCCAGGGTTACACATGTCCACATAAGTCCTAATAACAATCTAATAGAAAAAGGAACTAAAAACCAACAAGTAAATCAAATCTGAATGCAAAAAGGAAAAGGAAAGCTGTTTTGGGATGCAAGTATTCCAACTGGCTTCATACGATATTCTGGGCCTTCGTTAGAAACCTTCCAAGCATCATTTCGTTCAACCAATGAGTCTCATTTGCAGTATAAAATCAGTAATTTGATGCAAAACAAACCTCTAGCCTCGAATCTCAGCCATCTTTCTTGAATCAAGCTCCAAAGTAGACTTCATGTACACAGATTCAGCCTTAGCCAAATTCTGGCACTTTTCCAATTTTGGCATACACTTTTGAACAACATGGAATATGATCTTCTAGAATTCCTCTCGAGCTCCCAAGCACTCTAAAGTGTAGAAAAACACTATATCTTCAATACAAACCATTAAAGTGGAATTTTCATTGAACCAGTAGTAAGAACCAAGTTCCCAAAGTTGGTATCCCAACTCTGTTTCTGTACTTGGCCAAAATTGCTTTCTTCTCTGTGCAAACCATGGTTGCTTCTTGGCCAAGCAAAACATACTCCAGAAACCTGCAAATTGGGATTGCATCAGTCCCTCTCTTTTTAAGAGGCTTTGTCCTCAAAGCTTGTAGCTTTCGTTGTTCCAATGCATCAATGAGATGCTCCTAGATCGGATCCCAAAATGCAAGCTGGTCTTCTTTCAATGGAAGCTTCTGCGCAACCTGATCTTCCTCGTTGACCATTTCTAGATGTAATAAAGGTGGCAAGAGCTCTTCATACCTCTCCTTGTGTGACTTTGGACCAGGTGTGTCGATCAATTTGTCAGAACGGTGCTGGAGAATTTCCCAGCTTGTCGGTCGCGTCGACGAGCTTCCCCTCGTTCGGTAAAATTGGGCATTTCTGGATGATGTATTTTTGCTTCAATTTTTTGCTCCCATGCGCTTTACCCGGTTGCCAATCATCAGCGAATCAACCATCCTGCCTTTTCCGTCTTGTTCGAATTTTAACTTTACGAAACCCAAAAAGTTCACTTTGATTTTGGGGCTTTAGATTCTGGGCTTCGTTGAATGCAATTGTTTTCCTCCACACCATCCATTGACACCTGGAGATCGATCTCTGTGTTGTTTTGGTGCAAGTCTTGCCCGATCGTGCTGCCCAATAAGCACCCTTCTTCGACTGCGCTTGGTTTAAATAGAGGGAAAAGTTCATAATTATAATCCTCCAATGCAGGCACGTTAAGCTTGATTGAGTGTGTTTTTAACAATTCCAGGTTCTGTTCGAATGACACTGTGCCATTGTTGCAGGTGGTCGTTTCCCCAGCTTGCCTGCCCACGAGAGCCTCGTCGTTGTTCTGTTTCGTCGAAGAAGAACAATACCTGTTGGCACCTGTGCAATTGATCGAGGGAATTTCTTCGATTCCCTTCTGAACTAGACTGCCTGGTGTTGAAAGACGCAGTCCATTGCCTTCAAGAAGCTCACCACAAGCAGCGAAGTACTTCGAGTTGGCTGCTAGCTCGTTGATGTCTTCCACAGTCCGCAACCTCTGTTTCTTCTCCGAAAAATAGAGGTGGCCAGCTGTTGCGGATTGCCTGACACTACAAAATTAGGAAGCATAGAGGACACTAATTGGGAACAAAAATTTAATTTTGTCTCCGGAATTCTATATTTAAGCGTTATTGGGGACGAATCTATGGAATTGTCTTCAAAACAATAAGAGCTGGATGTTTCAATGATGCGGGCCTAACCCAAGTTGTCCCCAAAGACTTCGGCAAGACAACCGGGATTATGAAATTCGAAAATTTTGGATTGTGGATTATTTCTCAATAAAATCGAGTCGGCTTGAGTCTTAGGGTTTATTTCATCTCAACTTCCGCCTACTGGGATCTCATTCTTCTTCAGCTCCTCATATTTATTTTTGATCGGCAATAGAAATCGATGGCGATGAGACCATAGCCACAAGGTATGAGAGAGCTTCTCCCTACGTCTCCTTTCGATTGTTGTTGCTTCCTCCAATTCGCAGCACCACTAGATTCCTCCTCCTTTGCGTTGTGGTTTAAATTCGTCATCCTCCCATAATACCCCTAATTCCATTGATTAATCAGTATATTGATTTAATAATTACAATAACTTTTATGATCCCCTGAATCCTTGCCCTTTGATTTTCGTTTAGGTCCTAGGGGTTTACTTCCCCATTCCCAATTGATGTGCACTTCACCGATTATTTTATTTCAATAATGATTTGTTTCTTAGTTTGAAGGTTCTCCATCCTTAAATTGACTCAATGGGTTTTCGTTCATCCAATTGATTTGTGATGCAAAAGTGGACTGCAACTAGTTCCCAAACTCAGGATGGAGGGAGAAGCACGAGATATGATGAGAAGGCATTCATAGCTTCAAAAAGAGTTATAGGTATGTGATTCATTCCTCTTGATCATGTCCATGTGTGTGTTGGTTAACGCATGACTAGCTAGGAGGTTTAGTTGAAAATCTCTGCTTTCTACTCCATGAAGTATTTTGGGATATGTGGATAAATAGTTCTAGTCAGATTGAAGCTGATGATGGTGGACAACGCGCTTGTGAATTGATTAATCACAAAATAATGCACTCTGCCACATAGCTTGTTATAATTTAATCTTCCTTTACTCTTTTCGGCCGGTCCTTTACTATCAATTGGATGAAATAAATTTTAACCACAAAGACCAACTAGTTTAAATCATGCCCTCTAATTTGTAATGCCCTCTCTCGGAAGTAGGTAAAAATTATTCAATGCCTTTTACTCATTTTTAACGTGAGTTATTGTCTATTACAGTTCTTCTTGTTCATTATTTGCTAAGCTCTAGGTAGCCTTAAGAAGTGGTGTTATGGCTTGTGATAGCTAGTGGAAATTACCTTTGCATTATGATGAGCTTATCTAATTGCTTGACTTAAATTACTATTTTGTTGAAACTAGCTTGAACCCGGGCCGTTGGTCGGATAGTGTTAAATTATTTTTATAAATTATTTGAATTGAATTATTTGTGATTGGATTGTGTATACAGATGTATCGTATAGGCATCCACATCTAGATGTATCAAGTTAATTTCATAGAAAATAAATAATTTATTATAAGAAAAAGAATTAATTAACTAACATATGCTTAAGCCAATGGAAGAACTACACCAATAAAGAATATTTATTTAGAGCAGAGTGGTCACTTTCTATCTATCCAAATAAGAAAATCAACATAATGAACAATCTTTTCCTCATTAAAGCATAGAATATATATATACAAATAGTAGAATGTCTTCAAACAGGAAATGACATAGCTAGTAGCGTAGTAAGTTAAGTCCAAATATAATAAGCAAACACATTCACTACTTCGTCCATTGTCAAATTTTGTAGAAGGTGAGATCCAAATACTTAGTCGATAATCCAATTATCTAGTCAAACAACTCAAAGTAATTGATCCTGGCTCTTCCTCTTATAGTTCTTCCTTACAGATGTTGTAGCTTCTCTGGCAGTATTCGGATCTTGATTTTCATCTCCTGCATCAGACACAACTCTAGACTTCTCACAAAAGCTTTCGACTCCCACTGTATCAATTCGGACCTCACTGTTGTGAGTAGGATTTTCAGAGGGCTCCACTGTAAGCAAATCAGCGACTTCATGCTCACTGCTCATGCTGCTGGCAATGGATTGGGATGATGAATTCGCTTTATCAAGTGCAGAGAGAGATGGCTGCAACAAAATAGATCCATTGAGCCAAGTATAAGTACAATCTCTTAATATGTAATCCCTACCCAGTCATGTATTGTGTATAAAAATCAGCATACATTAGAGAATCAAGACTTTCCAGAGCAGTGTAAAAACATTGCAATATTGGTCCATTTCATTATCCACCATATAGAAAAGTATTTACTATGCTTACAAAGTAAAAGTCTTTGACAAACTCAATTCCCCAAAATAGATAACAATATAAGCATATACAAAAAGGCAACAGGATTAAAAAATCCAAGGTTCACCAAAACCAATTGTGGATTGAAATTAGTTTATACCGAAATTGTGACTATATCTATAAGAGTCTTCAAACAGCCCCTAACTTTAGCTATTGAGGACTGACTGCCGTGTGCAACAGGTAATAGAAAAACAATTGGCTACGTATTACGACTAACAGAATCAGAAAAACTAAAGTAAGAACCCAAACTAAATTGCCGCGTATTAACAAAATGACTAACCTGGAGTGAAATAGCAGAGTCAATGGTTGTCATGTTGGAATGAAGATCATTAATATGAAGAACACTGAATTCATGTGCTGAAGTTTTGAAATTGTATTCCTTTAAAATAACCAGGAATTGCAACTCAAGGTTTTGAATTTTGGCGATAGTAGCTGGCACAACAGTGATGTCGTTTTCCGCATCAGCAAATAGGGTCTGAGCTGAGATACCAAAAAATCTCTTCCCTTCCTTATCCAAGACGACAAATATAGCTTCGCTTGATACATCAGAGACAGCAAGTTCTATTCTGAATCTGAGCAAACAACAAACCAAACATACATGTTAGGTTTAAATTCAAAATTGACAAAATATCAAAATATGGTTATCAATATGTCAAGAACCTTTTAAAAGAATGATTCATTGTCACTCGACACTTCTTGCAGTAAAACTTATTTGATTCAGAATCTACTTTGCAGAGGCATTTCTCACAGCCATCATAATGCCATTCAGTGAGGACGTCGTTGGCTTTGCAATTCACGGCAACTATCTTATTCTGCTAGCAAAAAAATAAATAAAAGGATATAAGAATCAGAAAACAGGACACTTATTGCATAATCAAAATAATTTTGTTAAGTGATTCTCGAGCATTTCAGCAAACACGCCTTCAACTTAGATTGAGTGGACAAATGAGTGTTGACCAGTGTGCTAGATTGCATCACCTGATTAGTATAATCAGAGGTTAGAGCCTTCAATTCTTCAATCGAAAGTGGGACAACCACTTGACGTTTCTCTTCCTCAATCAGTTTGGGAGCATTATCAACAGATCTGATCATTAGAAATACAAACAATAATATAAACTCAAACTTGGGTCAATCTTTCATATTTCCAACAGATAGCAATAACAAAAAGAAGATTGTTAACCTTTCTTTAAGGACATTGACTTCATTCAAGTTAAATCGGTCATAAATAATAGTGGCACCAGATGATGACAACTTCAGTTCCTCTACCAAAAAAACAAAAAATAGAATTTATTTCATAAGAATGCGGTTTGAGAAAAAGTACTCAAGTAGCATGATTGTAATTTCTTTGTGCTTTGAATTCCGATTGGTTGAAGTTGATACCCTGGTGCGATGTTCCTTGAGCTGTCCAACAACATCTATGGACAAAAATGGTTGACAATTACCAAACAACTTAAACAAACTATTTGTAAGCAGTTCTAAAGTTTAGTAGTTCTGTATTGGGACTACTAACCTAGCAAGATAATACGCTGACCGCGATTGGCATAAGTGTCTTCATGTTTGAGAAACATGAAGCAGTGCTCCCTACATGGAGGTACAACATCTGCAGCTGGGACCATGGTTGTTCCGGAAGTGAATACGATGAACATATCTCCTGGAATAGGACGAAATCACTTTTCCTCTTTGACCACTTCAAAATTCTGAATTAAGTATGTCTTCTGATCTTCGATCTTACCCACAAATTTGTGCATTTTTGTTTTCGATACTGACTCACTTCTACTGTCACCCTAGGAATTGGCCAAGTGAAACCACATCCTAAAGCGTAGTATAGCAGGTTAGGTTTATATGTCAACCCGGGTCCTAGATCTGATGACTACTCAGTGAATTCTTGTTATCTAGCAATGAAACTGGAATGCAAATCTAAACTATCAAACTAACAAAGCAAGTAAACTGTTGTATTCAGGTTAAGAGAGGTCACCCGGATATGGTTCCCCCTAGACTGCAGTTAAGCCGGATTGTAATTACCAAGTTCAGTTTCTATGATAGTTATACTGCGGAAGGTTCTTAAACAGCCTGAAGTCTCGATTAAAGGTCTTCAGACCCTCTCAATCTGGAAGGGCTGCCTCTGCTGAAAACCACCTGCTGGTGCTGGGAAACCAGGTGGTTTAGTGGTGTTGCTGCTCCAACCGAAATTGGGATGCTGGCGCCACCCCTCATTATATGTGTTACTGTCTGGATCGAGGCGCCACACATTGGCGATGAAGGCCAACTGCTCCTGGGGTGTGGTAGACTCCCTCATAGCCTGGCAGTCCTCCACTAAGTGATTGGAGCTCTCACACCACTGACATTGAGCTACTGGAGGTGTAGCCAAACCTCTGCCCGGAATAAGACTGTTGGGCTGCTTCAATGTCTGCACCAGCTCAGCTACCTGCTGCTCGAGCCCGGATCTGGTCTCCATGGCGTGCACACCACGGTCCCGGTACTGTCTGCCTCGGCTACCCTGTCCCCAAGAATGATTTCTGGCAGCCAAAGTACTGATCATCTGGTTCAGCTCGGGTGGAGTCTTAGTAAGAATATCCCCTCCTGGGCATAAAGACTCAATCACCCTCTGGCTATCTGGGGAGAGAGCACTGTAGAAGTTCCCCACTGTGAATGCATCACTAAAGCCATGATGGGGACACTGCCAGAAATAGCCCATGTACCGCTCCCAAGCATCACGAAGTGACTCATCTGGCTCTTGGCGGAAGTGAGTGATCTCCCGCTGAATCTCTGTAGTCTTCGATGCCGGATAGTACCTGTGCACGAACTTGTCAGCCAGATCGTCCCAAGAGGTGATGGACAATGGGGGCTGGGTCTCCAACCACCTCTTAGCATTCCCCGCCAGAGAATGGGGGAAGAGATGAAGGCGGATTGCATCATCCGGGACTCCATTCAGCTTGAACCCGTTTGTCAGCTGCAGAAAACGGGACAGATGCACCCTGGCCTCCTCATCCTTCAAGCCATGAAACTGGATAGAGGATGTGATGAGCTGAATCCAGCATGGCTTGATCTCGAAGTTGTTTGCTGGAATAGGCGGGTAGAGGATGACCGGGCGGATGTCAGCAATCCGAGGAGTGTAGTAGTACTCCAATGTGGGACCCGGCTGCGGTGGATGATGAACCCCATGATCCTGGGGTATGGGGTTGTTCCCCAGGACCTGATTCACCGGGGGAGCCTGCTGAGGATTCCCCTGGTGCTGATTGTAGTCTCCGTCCATCCCGTACTCTTCTTCAGAATCGCTGCTCAAGTGGCCGTCTAGGCGCTCTTCCGTAGCCAGTCTAGCTCGCTGTTGTCTCCTGAGCTGGCGACAGCTGCGGTCAATCTCTGGATTCAACGGCAGTAAACCTCCTGACTGGCTACGGGTCATGCACTACCTGCACACACTCAAGCAAGCAAACCCATGAAAGCACAAGTGGGACAAAGCAAACAAAGCAAAAAGAAAAGCTAAATTAATAGAAATCACTTTTCTTCAACAACCTAGCCGTCCCCGGCAACGACGCCAAAAACTTGACTCACTTCTACTGTCACTCCAGGAATTAGCCAAGTGAAACCACTTCCTAAAGCGTAGTATAGCGGGTTTGGGTTTAATTATCAACCCGGGTCCTAGATTTGATGACTACTCAGTGAATTCTTGTTATCTAGCAATGAAACTTTAATGCAAGTCTAAACTAACAAACTAACAAAGCAAGTAAACAGTTGTATTCAGGTTAAGAGAGGTCACCCGGATATGGTTCCCCCTAGACTGCAGTTAAGCCGGATTGTAATTACCAAGTTCAGTTTCTATGATAGTTATACTGCGGAAGGTTCTTAAACAGCCTGAAGTCTCGACTAAAGGTCTTCAGACCCTCTCAATCTGAGTCTCTAGCGGGCGACTAACCTCCACCGTGGGCGACTAACCTCCACCGGAGTAAACAGATTGAGGCCTTAACAAACAAAACCTCCACTACCGGAGTAAATCCGGTACAGAATAGTGAGTTGGCTCCTCGACTAAAGTCACCAACTCCCTACCTTCAATCAAGGATGCTCTATCAACCTAGGCAGATATTCTCATTCTAGGTTAAAGCAGAAACAACAGGAATTTGATCAGGATTCAAGTCATTCAATCATTCAAACCTCAATCGAATATAATCAAATCATAGAATCAGTACTTGGGTTCATACAATCAAAGCCTAACATACAAATCTAGGGTTCTCCATACCCAGATGAATGGGAGAACTACTCCATGGAGAAGAAAGCAAAAGCAGAATCAGACGCGGAATTCATACTGTGAAGGATGGATTCCTGCTCCTGGATGTTGATCGGCACTTCTCCAAGCTCAAACTGGCCTCCAATGGTGTTGAAGATCAATCTAGGGCACTTGGAGACTCTTGTTCGTCGCTTTCTCTCTCTAGGAATCGTTCTCTCTCTCCAAAAACTCGAATCCCCTTGTGTTGTGGCTGAAAATCTGCTTAAAAGCATTAGTGGCCAAAGCACGGTCGAGGACACGGCCGTGCTTTACCTGAGCCCGCCCGTGCCTCGGCCAGGGTTAATTACACGGCCAGCAGTTGGGAGAAACACGGCCGTGTTTCGCGTTGGGCACGGCCGTGCTTTGCCTGAACACGGCCGTGCTTTCAGCCCGTGTTCGCGGCTGAATTTGCCAAATCAATTAGCTCTCGGCATAAAAAGCACGGCCACCAGAACACAGCCGTGTAATGATTTAGGTGTGCCCGTGTTTTGGCTCCAGCTTGACGAAATGACCTCCGAATGCCCCGAAACTCGCGCTTAGCCTTCCCTTTGACACCTGGGACCTGAAACATGACAAAATAGCACAACACGGCGTAAAATAGGCCAAAACACACGACTATGCCCCTCAAACGGATAAGAACTAGGGGCGCAAATATGTGCAATTACATCGTTATCAGACACCGAAGAAGAAAACCATAACCTAGACACCAAAAAGGGAGAAGACAATGATGACGATGAGAATGCTGCTGCCGACGGATCCTAAAGCTCCTCCAAATGAAATATGAGCCCCTTCTCTCTACCCCGACCGATCTCCCTCCCTGTAGCCAGATCCTGAAATACAAAACTAGAGGGTGCAAAGGTAACACGACAACCTTGATCAGTCAGCTGACCAACAGAAACAAGATTCGGAACTAACTGTGGAACATGTAGCGTGGCGGGTAAATGCAAAGCAGAATCATGTATGGAACCAATACCTGTCACCTCTAAGTGATAACCACTAGCAACTTGTAACGACAAGTCATCAACAGGACGCATATTAGACAATATCGAAGCATTACTAGTCGTATGGTTGAAACACAGTGTCCAAAATCCAATTAGGAAGCTCACCCGAGGCCTGAAGACTAGCAAACGCTGAACTAATGGCCGTGTTTACTAGCTTCTCGATCGCAGCAGTAGTCATGATCACACCGCCCTCGGGTGGAGGAACCAAAGCAACCTACATAGCATAGGCTGGACGAGAACGAGGACCTCCAGTAGCATTTTCAGATCGAGGAGGATGAGGCTTGACAAGAGGGCACTCCAATATAATATGACATGTCGACTTGCAATAATTATAGAAATTGCATTTACAACAGTGACTGACCTTTGTCACGGCAGTGATGACATATGATCTCGGCATTATTTGTTGGGCATTGGAACTGAGGGCGATGAGCAGTGTATGCCTCGCCAGCAGGATCCGAAGAGGAGAGACGATCCGAGGCATGAGACAAGGCAAGACTGGTGGGATGCCTGATGTCAAAGATGGCAGCATCACCGGTGCCGGGACGGATGTCGAGTTGGGCCTGAGTACGAAGCCTGGTTTCCTCTTGAAGAAGCGCACTCAGGACTCCTTCGGGCTTTATCTGCTCACGGTTGATCAAGGTAGCATGAACATATTCATAGGCTGGATTTAATCGTACCAGGAATTAGAGGAGTCGGGTCTTCTGTGGCTCAGCAATCACTTCGTCAGAAGCAGCTCGTGAAAGCAAAGAGGCGGTCAACATATCTTGTTCTGTCCAAATCCTCCGTGTGGTATTATAATAGGAAGCAATATCCTTATCTCCTTGGTGAAGACGAGAGAGCTCCACCTCTAGCTTGAACTGGCGAGCCGCATTAGTAGTGGTGTAAGTGGCCGCAAGGTTCGTCCACATCTCAGCAATAGTGGGCAACGATCGAAGCCCCAAAATAATCGATGGATCAACAGAATTAAGGATCCATGTTCGTACCCTCGCATCGGTGTCAGTCCAGCGAGTCACGTCATGCTCTATGGATGGGGGAACAATAGGTTTCTTTGACGTGCCATCAAACCAACCGAGGAATCGCTTGCCTTCAATGAAGGTCCGAAATTGAAACTCCCAAAGTGCAAAATTCTTTGAGTGGAGGCGTGTCGTGATGCAATTGGAGTCGAGAGATGAAGGCTCTGATACCATGTTAGCCATTCAGAAAGATAAATAATACGAAAGCAATAACGAGACGAGATTTACGTGGTTTCCTTGTTTGTTGTGAACAAGACTACTCCACGCCGAAGCTACTGTTCCTTTCTTATTCGACTTAGCTTCCAGTACGTGTTACAATACATATATATATATATAGATCGGCTACCAAACCCTAACCCTTCTTACTGCCGAGACTTGGTTGTGGCCCAGCAACCTTCTAATCCAATGGGCCGAGCTAACATAACAATACTTAACACCACCACCACCGCTTTCTACCAAGCGCGAGCTGCATCCATGGAGAGGTGAAGTTTACGTAAACGATCTGAGAGATCTACTGATGGTGGAGTCTAGGCAAATACATATGGCTGTGATGCTCTCAAATTTGGAAAATGCGGCCTTCAACTTGTCTTCATCGATGGCGGGTGCAGGGCACGACGAGGAATATAATGCATATACATATATATCAAAGACAAAAGAGATTCAAAGAGGAAAAGAAAGGCTCCACTATTTCTCCGCTCACTACGATTGTTGTTAGACTGGACCAGAGCTTTTGGAGCTTCGTGATGTAGCCATGGATGTCACCCACATATATACGATTGCAATCGAGGCCATTTGATAATAAGAATCAAAACGGATAGCCGCCAGCGGTGAGGTTAGCACCAACTACGCCGACGTTGCATGCCGCTGGGAACTTGGGGATGCTGCTGCTGGTCAGCTCTGAGTCGACCCAGTTTAAAAGCACAGTCTTTTTTGTTGAAAATTCGGTTGAGTCTGACTAACCAGATCAAATTAATTTTGGGATGGACCGACCAACCAGTTTTGAATCATACCGACCGAACCAATAATATTTTAATTCCATGAAGGGACAATCCCTTTGGCCTAGTGGCGGTTGCATTTTTTATGGATAACGATGAAACTTATGGATAAAGACAACCTTTCATGTGGGGTGGATGATGCCAGAGAAGATCAAAAATATTCTTGGGACTTTTGGGACGAGGGTACATGTACGATAGCCGAGACTGGGTGACACTTAAGTTTTAGAAACTTGTAAGTGACCTTGATATTATTATCCGTCATGTGTTCAATCATTCTCATAAGTGCACACAAAACCAAGCTCGGGTTTCTTGAAGCGGCTACACTTCATGCTTACGCAGGTTGAATCTCTTATTCGTGTACCCATATAATACAATTTTTCAAATATTCAATTAAGAAGTTTTGAACTTCACCCTCTTCAGCATGCAAGATAACAAGCACATACCTTGAGAAGACAAATTGTGTGCTCCAATTTCTTATCATGAGCTTTCCACATTTAATTCAGCCTCTAACGTTGTATTAGAGGGGAATTGGGTGTCCCATTATCGAAAAATTATATGGACTTTTAACACATCCCTTTTACAGACTTAACCACCAAATCACTAGTTAATCATTTCGTCAAATGATCCACTAAATTATCTCTAGTTCGGTCATATTTGTACATACACAAATCTATGAGTGATAAATTTATAGATTTTACCGTGCATAACTCCGACATGATCGTACTTCTCATTTTACACTTGGATAAATGCTTAGCCAAAGTAACATTGCTACAAACAGATAGTAATAAAGTGCGATTTGTTTAGGCCATGAAAGCATATCATAAACCAAATCTCTCAACCATCACACAAGCAAGAATACTCTTCTCAATGATGAAGTATGATCTTCAACATTAGAAAACAACTAGCACCAATGTATCCTCTCAAAATGAATGGAAACCCACTATAAGTCAATGCATAATGCACTGTGCCTCAGATATTTCCTAATACATGCATCATTTCATGCCAATGATAAGCACTATGATTACTCATATACCAACTTAAATGTCATAGCGCATATGTGATATATGATCTTATGCAAGTGATTGCATACATCAAGCACCCAATCAACATGAAATACTCTAGTTGTAAAACTAGTTTAATAGTATTAACCATTAGTTCCAAACTTGGATCCATTGGAGTCTTTAACTCACGACAATTTCCAACAAAGAAATTAGCAACAACCTCTTCAATATAATGACATTGAGACAAGGCAACTTCTTAATTATCGTTCTACGTAATTGAATACACAGAATCACATTTGTCTCTCCCCCATCTCCTATGTGGATAATT